ATTAATTCAAGGTTATTTTCTTTATTTATTACTAAACATAGTCCGTGCCATGGTGCTGCTCTAGAAAATTACTTTTGAAAATATATTTCTAAAGCAATTCTATTGTCGACACGCACGTTATTGTTTGGTTCTTTAAAGCTGTTTAACCCTTTTGTACATGATTAGAATGGCCTTGTATAAATATACTTCATCGGTATACGTTTTATTGATAAAGTACATAATTTACACAACGTCATTCGAATCATATGACGTTGTGTAAATATAATTCATCAATAGGTTTTAGTTTCACATCGCTGAAAATAGTGCAGATGTCTGTTGACTTCAATATTTTTTTTAAAATTTCAATAACCACAACTAGTTTCTTAACATGTACTCAACCGCAATCTACATCATTTCTGGTTCGCTTCACTGCCAGAGGGATTTCCATATCTTTTTTCAGCAGGTCATGAAACAGTTTTGTATTCTTTAAACTAGAAATTGCAAATTGCAAGTGAAGTGCTGCGAAGTACAACTGCATAAAATGTTCTTCGAACAAAATTATTTATGGGAGTCAAGTGAAAATAATGAATAATAAAAATATAACAAATAATATGAGCACGACCCATTGTCTATATATTATTAGAACAGCGTTGGTACTATAGTGTTTTGCTGCAGTGACATCTCTCTGCTGGCGATGGCTCGCTGCTGCTGGCGATGACTCGCTGCTGGCGAATCGATCTGCGCATGTGTATAAAATGGTATTTATTTCCCCAAACACTATGCCAGTCTACAACAACAAGCGTCGCCTAAATGTAATAATTAGCACGTTGAAATAGGCTAGTAAATAAGTTTAACTGGGTTCGTAAATAATATTGTCCTCAAAATATTGTGGCTGAGACATGAGCCGATTAAACGTAGAAATAGGAAACCTAGAAATATAGTAAAAACGCTGAATAGTACTCCAGCGTCGCGACATGCCGACGTAGGTTAGTCTACAAACGTCGCCTAAAGTAATGGATTTTACCCGGCAGAAAGAAAGGAGGAAACTCCGCTTTTCAGTTGTCTCAGGCGATTGATTTTTGACAAACAATGACCTTTCAGAGGTCAAATTTCTGTCTAGAATACGGTATGAATTGGCTGCTTCGCAGCAATTAATTCAATGCTATTTCCTTCATTTACGTAAGCTTTGTACCAGAG